TCTGTTTTACGCTTACTTATTGTATATAAGGTACAAAATTACCTAATAATCCGATGTCTAGACGAACGGCACTTAAATGCCTCGTAAAATAGCATTAAAGACTTAATTATTGCTGAGTAAAAAGTATACAGTGAACAGAAAATATTAGCTACTAGCTTTCGCCGGTGACTCCTTTCGCGTAGAATAAAAAAAAACAAAAGTAGCCTATGTGTTCTTTCAGATTTTGCTCTAAACCTGTGCCAAATTTCATGGACATCCGTTCAGGAATCCGTTTTTGGGTACATACGCTAACAAACATCCATCCATCCATCGTAACTTTTGCATTTATAATATTAGTATGAATTATGAAGTGTGATTAGTACGATTAGTATGATATATGATATAACGTAAGAGAATATATCAATCTTTCTATGTATTGTCGACGTGTTTCACTTGTCAGTTGGACCGTGTAACCGTGATGAGCAATGTTCGCACGAACTGGTTCAGAATAATCTGTTTGAACAGTTCACTGCATCTAATGGCATTACATTACAGTCACATTCTTTGTTAAAGTCATACTTCACTATGTTTTATTCAACGAAAAACTCGCACTGTTAAATCTCGTACAGAAATAGTTTTGTATTTTTGTGTTTGAATTCCTAACCTAAGAAATATATTTACATTGTTAAAACTACATTATAGTGGTCGAAACCCGAATGATTAAATTTGAACAGAATCTAGATGAAGCGACCTTCATGCATATTCAGCGGAGTCCCTTGACACGGTATTTATTTTAAAATTGTCTCCCAAATCAAGTTTTAGAGTTGAAACAACTCGCTTCCCTCATTTCACTCAAAATTTAGAACTCTTGCAACTTTTAAAATAATTTAAAATTAAAAAAAAAATCTTTTCCTTAAAACATTACAATTTCGTTTTATAAATATACAGCAAGACTATGAATTTTATGTATAAGCTATAAACAGTTGTGAAATTAGTTTTTGTATAGGCCTTTGAAATATTCGACCTAGATACCTTCACTATACAAAGTTTTGCTTTATAAAGATTATGCTCTTGTATACTTTGTGCGGATACAAAGTAAATGCAATGCTGATGAATTCAAACTTTAACTTTCAAATGCTAATTCACGGTGAAAAGAAGCTAAAATACTGAAAAGTATAAAAATAAATCCAAAAATCGTAAATGTTAAAGACAAGGAACTAATGAGACGTTAAAAATACACTAAAGAACTCTTTTAGTGACTTATTAACGACTCTGTGTGCGTCAGTAAGTTATAATAAAAGCACGTAACAAGAATGGAACAATTGTCTCTTTGCGTGAATTTGCATGATGGGGCGCATAACGAGATGTACTCTTAGCGCCTCTAGTCATCTCATCGGCCTGGAAGAGCCTTGTTCACGTAATCTGTTGCTTTTTGAGGCAAAGACCATACTGCTATAATACAGTTAGTATATTTATAAAAACAACCTTTGAATTTAACACTAATTTACACGTATCTATATGAAATTGTACACACTCTGCCGACATCAGTTATCATGTCACTAAGGGACAGGTAAACAGTCAACGACTTACTGTAGATTTACTAAATGTATACTATGTGATTTCTATTAACTGACTCTTAAGGCAAAGAGTAATATTCGTACTTTTAAGTGGTTGCAAATTCACGTGAATTTCTTTCTAAATTTCAGCGTTATACACTTTTTCACCAAATTAAATTTAACTGTGTCAAATTTTACGTTCATCTCTTCGCACAATTTCACGTTTATAGATGTTATCTGCAACATCAGGTACTTATAAATATGTAACTATTTAAAATTAAAATGTAACCTTGTACGTCATACTGTTAGCTTGTTTTCCTGCAGTTGGATACAATCAATAGTCGTGGCTGCATCCTCCGGTCGTCGCCGCGACCTTGGCGAATTTAAACGCCGAATCGATGCCGCTTCTCTCTGTGCCAATTTTCTGATTGCATATGCTAACGAATTTTAAAGTTTACCACTTCATTATCTATTTAAGCTTCTGGTTAAGGTTACCTAGATATTTCCAACACTGCCGAATGGTTTGTGAAGTTTGAAGGTTGTTAATGTTCAAGAAAATCTTAGTTCATTATGTAGATTCACCTAATCTAAACTTCTATACTATTATAATAAAGCGTAAACACACACTTCTTTGTTGCCAAAGATGTCAGCAATTACAGCATATCTTTGAATCATTCTTTTTTTAATAAAAAGCCCTACACTTACGTCACGCTTTAGGCTATATATTTCACACCATTAAACTTAGGGGGTAAATATATTTTGGATAAAAACCTTAATGTGAGAAAGAGACCATAAGTTGCTGCCAACAACAAGGAAGGTTGCCATGGTTTGTCATAATGTCATGTCATTTTGACATTTGCAATTGATAATTTTGACACATGTAAACAACAAAATAAAATTTTCATAATTCTATGCAGATGAAGTCGCATGGGAACAGCTAGTATTATCATACAATTATTAATTATCAATGTAATGAAAACGTCTCTAATAATAATCATAAAATAAATCGAAGTCTTTCAGTTCGCACTGTATCGCGTAGTTAAAGAATTTTCGTTATTTCCCGCCAATTTCCGACCGAAGATAAATCGTCATTTATCGGTTTGTCGATATCCGGACCTCATCAAAGACTTTTCAACAAGAATGGAATGTTCCAGAGGAATAAGTATTATATACGTTGCGATATTGTGATCATTTGATGGTAGACGAATAATATTTCCCGCCCACTTAGAGGTACATAAGAACAAGAAAATGACGAACTGGTGATGATGCCTAAAATGTTCGTGTAAGCTAAAAGGTGTGTGTAACCTAAAAGGTTGCCGTTGGGCGATCGACCAGGAAGCTTGACTGAAAGGAGCGCCATAAATCTGCGAATTACGGTAATAAAAGGCATATCAGAAATATCGCCCAGGGCGCTAGTAGGACACTGGGCTAGCTATAAAGGACACTGGGTACCACAATATCTGTATAATCTCTCTCCTATAGTCAGAAATTCAAGTTTGCATTACAAAGGACATTTACAATTCCGAATGGTGTAACTTCAACAAAAAGCTCCCTCGGCGGCGACAAATTCACAACTTTGATTAAGGTTCTCGGGCGACGATGTGACCTTAATGTACAAACTTTGCTTCGCAATTTCATGTTGATACTATTTAATAATTTAAATCAATCTCTTTTTTTTATATAAATAGATTAAAGCATAACTAACCTCCACATTCGGATGTTAGTTATGAATGTGGAGGGGTACACCGGTAGAGGTAGACCTAGAAAGAGATGGATGGATTGCGTGAAAGGTGACATGATAAAGAAGGGAGTGATGACTGAGATAACGGATGATAGAGTGCTTTGGAGGACCGAAAACACAGGACGCCGACTTTGCGGGAGTAGGATAAGGCAGGGGAGATGATGATGATGAAATAGATTAAAGCAAGAAATAAGTTCACCCGAAGTGGTTTTTCTGTCTACCACCTTTGCACAAATAATTGTCACATATTTTTCTTATAAAACTACCTCTACTACATAAAACGCCCTTTGTCCGTTAACACTCTACTATTTGGGATTACACAGAATTATATGAGTACATTTCCATGTATTGTACTGATCAAATGTTTACAATTCTTGCTTTATTTTCCACAAAAGTTTATATAATAGAATACTTTTCTGTGATTTAAAAGCATTTAATTCGTTATCCGCGCAGCTGCAGGTTATCTGCTTGCGACTATTATCTCTCACCCAATTTCCGGACGACAGAAAACCAATTTTAAGCTCAGTGACTGCTCCGTTGGGTACAGATAAAATATGGCAACGAAACATCGACGTAAAATGCGAGAACCTTTCATTTAGTATTTCATTTAAACTTGAAAATAAAAGTTACCTTTCTTTTAAGCTCAATGACGATTATTCGTAATTTATCTTTGATTTTAAATCTTTTGTGATCCAAAAACATTTGTTCAAATACACGAAGAAAAATAATATTCATAAGAAAAGGTCGACTCTGGCATGGTTATTTCAATAAAATATGACTTTACCACAAACATGTGTTTCTGCCAATTCTGCAAGCTGTTGTTTTGTAAGTAAATTCTTTATCACGCGATTTTTTTTAATCAGAGTTTTTTTAATAATTAAAGATTATAACTAGCCCAACAACATGTTCTATATAATACGTGCAGAAATATAACAAATGAATTGTTACGAAAACATCGTATAATTTATTTTTCTACAGCGTTTTACGGAGAAATGATTTATAAAAAACATCGAATTTTATAAATGGCTGTCGTGTTGCTAAATAAAAACATAAGTACTCGACTTTTCGAAGTAAGGCACTTCAAAGTAATTCAAATTACGTTCACTCAAAGCGATTGCTTATTACACTCAAAATTTTCCGCTCATAAAATCAGATCAAAACAAGAACTTCAAACGATAAAAAAGGTATTTAACGAAGAAAATCGTACTTATCCAATTCGCGCAAAATTAAATCTCTCTTGTTATAATTAGAAAAGCTTTTGTTGGCATTTTTTAATTTCACAATGCAGAGACGAGCCGCTCATTAATCCATTTCTGCACACTTTTCGCTTAATTTCAAGTGTACGTAGTTAAAAGTTCTGAGAATTCTGAAAAGTTCTAATTTAGATTCTTTTTGCGGTACCCTATTCGATTTAGACATTAAATAGTTCAAACGGAAATTTGGTCCTTTGAGTCGGATACTTTAGTCCCTTTTCAGTCCCATCCTCCTTCTTATAAGAATAGGGTGGTAAGGGAATGTGGATTTGACGGTGCAGGAGACAAAGAGGAAATAACCTCTTTATGTGGGTCTCATCCTCCATCGATTAAGGGTAGGCAACGCATCCGCAATTGCAATTTAGGTGGCCGCTTACTCGTTTTGTCAACTTATGATATAAAAAAAAATTAAAGTTAAAAAGTGTACAAACGCAAGTAAAATCATTAACTAGGTATTTTTTGTTTGTACAGGATAAACATTATCTTTGTATAATGGCGTCGGACTCACCAGACCAGAATCTCACGCAATACTTCAGTTTGTGTAATGATTTCATACACGCTGCGAGACTTAGGGAAGGAAATGTCCTCATACATTGGTGAGTACTTTAATTTCCAGCCGTTTAATAATTTTGAAGTTTGATCTTTCACATTTGAAAACTCTTTAATTATACATCTTACTACTTTTAGGGGTATTATATCGATAATATGCGCTAATAGCATTAGTAAAGAAAGGCTATCAAGGCCAATGTAAACCTGGAATAGTAATTAATACTGCGTCCAAAGCCCCAAATTCATTAAGGTACATACACAAGAGAACTTTATTTAACGAACGTCCACTGTTACGTAATTACCGTTTGAACCCAACTAGGGCAGAGGGAGAGGGTTCGAACCGCTATAATAACAATAGACTACCAATATTACTTCGACTGTCAATGTAATCGTTTCATACTGGCAACTTAGAATTTTCATGTTTGATTAATTAAAAAGTTCAAATTCCAATTTCAAAATTGTTGGCTCTCTTTAAAAAAACAAGACTTTAGAGAAAGTAGGTCAAGTTTTAACTGGCACCTTATGTGTCGTAATGTCCTTCACTACGCTCCACTGAGATCTAGAATGATGGACGTTTTTTCTCCTGAAAGCACTGAAAGATCCAACGTCAAAGGGTCCCACGTATTTTACTAGAATTTATAATATGAAGTTGTACACTGAATTTCTATTTATTTTTCATTGCACATATGTTTTAAATGAAAAATGTAAACTCTTACCTTTATACCGCAAATGTTTTTTTTATATCGAAATAAGCCTCACAGAAGCTTGCCTTTATATTGCCACACTCAGATCCGCATAATAGTAGTTTTTTAGTGTACATTTCTTATGTGCCATTTTTATATGATGAAATATAAGGATTCACTTGGTGATCAGCGCAGTTAATGTACTACAAAAAGAATAATTCAAATTACCGAACTGTATGACTTTTTATTTTTTTTTTGTATCCAGTTTAGCTGGTATGTCTCGCAGCGTGACAGTCGCAGTGGCATATATAATGTCGGTGACACCCCTGACGTGGCGCGAAGCACTCAAAGTGGTGCGTGCGGGCCGCGCTGTCGCCAATCCTAACCTCGGCTTCCAGAGACAACTGCAGGATTTCGAAACTTATAAATTAGTTGAGGTAATTTGTAATTAATTACCTATTTAAATTAGTTCAGATTTGTTGAGATGGAAATTTTGGCATACTTTTCACCGGATAAAGGCGTTGCACTTATCTAGAATAAAAAGGTTACGTTACGAAAATGTTTGCACGAATACGTGATAAACCCTCTGAACCTTGGCCGGAAAGAAAAAATATTTCTTATTATTGTTTAAATTGCAACTTCTTTCTTCTATTCATGGGACAAAGGAATTTTGCTTGCGTGCGCTTTCTTTGTATTACAATGTGACATTTGAATTAAAAATGCTTTACATTCGCGCCTTTTTACATCTGCTACATTGTTTTTTATTTTAATGAAAACCATTCTAACACATTTAAATATGACTGTGCCATTATTATTATTTTACCTGTTAAATCAACAATTTCTGTTTGCTAATTATATGCAAGTGCCTTAGAGCCTGTCCCACCACTGGCTGATAGACGCTCAGATAGCTTAAAAATGACGTCACTGTCAGATAGAATAACAAAATCCAATATTTTCATTACATATTTTACAAGTTGCATTGTTATCTGATAATTTACAAGAATTCCGTTAGTCCAACTCCGACATATGTTTTTCTTACATTTTAGGAGAGGCGACGTCTCAAAGAGAGGTACCCATCGCTTGCGTTAGCAGACAGCGATCTGGCGGAGTGCCGTGTTATGCTGGATTCGTACCAGCTCATGCTGCGGCAGAAGACCATCTGCGAGGGCAAGTGCGCTATGGGCCGGCAATGTCCCACCGGTAATATCGCTTTACTTTTAAATTTTGCAAAACGAGTAAGGTATAGGTAGAATTACGAAGACGCTGCCCATAGATATTTAAAATAAATTATAGGTTGCGAGTGCTTTGAACTATGTCTACGGTCTATAGACGCCTCCTGATTTGTGTTCAGTTCGAGCACCCAATTCACAATAGTTTTTTCAATTCACAATTCACAAAACTTTAATAAACATTTTAGAATTAACTAGATAATACGTTAAATTAAGTCACACATAAGTAACAATTCTTAACAAAGCTCTTTTCTCGCTTTGTACGCGCATTAACACAGATGTAATTGAATACGGAACAAAGAACATGTGCGCTGCAACGACTAGAGAAATACGAGTAGATGCCGCATAAAAACAAAAGATATTATCTAATCTCACGGACCAGATGCGACTTTGGGGTTTATCTGCTTTTGTGTCAGTTCCATTTCTCAAAAAATCTTACTAACATTATAAAAGCGCGTTTGGATAGATGGATGGATGTTTGTTAGAGTTTTTGGCCGAACGGTAAACGGATCTCGATGAAATTTGGCATATATATGTAGAACATTGTCAAAAGAATAGTCTACTAAGTTTTTTTTTTATTCCCCGCAGACGGAGTCGTGGTCGAAAAGTAATGTGTAATAAAAATGTGGTTAATCAAATCGTTTTATCACACTTATGCTAGGTTGCTGAAGTTTCCATTTATTTTATCATTACCTAGTGATTCATTAGTGTTAGGTTAAACTCGGTTTCAAAGTAGTCAATCTCGAGTTACGTATTTCCGAAACGCATTTCATGAAGTTATAGAAGCAATACCTGTAACGAATCCTTAAAATTAGCTGGGAAACCGGTCATTAGACATCTCAGAAAGATATCACGTACTTATATTAGGGGGTTAACACCGTCATCAGGGTGGCAAAGAACTAATGTTACTATACGATCAGGCGTGTGCAGGACGGGGTCGAAGCGGCAGCCGCGTGCGCGCCGGCCATCAGCCGCCGGGGGCGGGGAACAGGGCGCGGGCGCGGGGGGACTGAAACGGTCGCCCTCCACTCTCTCCACCACATCCACGACCTCCGGCTACCGGCCGCGCTCCTCGCCAGCCGGACTCTACAGTTACACTGGACGTAAGTATCTGGAACTGTGTGTTTTGACTCCCACACGTCTTGCTATCTCTTTCATTATCTCTGAGAAAAACAGTGACATAGGACAATTGACAATATAAAATCACGGAATATGTTCTAAAGTAAAAAGTACTTCTGAACTGTAAAACCGCGAACGACGCTGACTGTACCTTGCTTATAGTTTGTAAGTTTATTATCGTGTATTTTATGACTATCTCATGTTATTGCGTCTTTATTAGTTGGTTCATCATTCGTTTATGTTTACGAAAATTGGATTGTAATTTGATTAATAAATAGCCTATTAAAATGTTCGAAATCGACCAATATAAATATGTTTAAGATCCGATTAATTATGTATTTGCCTCTCGTAGCGTCATTTAATCCCTTAATTTCATTTCGCGTAGATTAGCTCAATCACAGAGCCGCGTTTCGCCTTTAATCATCGTAATTGGAGACGAACATCATTAGGCTAAAAGGTTTAGTAATTAACTGCGCTAGCTCTTTGCTATCTGTGGTACAGTTTATGAGTAAAAATTTTGCAAACTAATATGAAACGAAAAATGGCTGGAATTTTATGCAGACTTTTATTCCGGAATGCGACCATAATATCTCGGGGGATGTTAGGGGAGAGGTGGATTTACGTGGCAGGATTATGCGGTAAAACAACGTGAATACTATTACGAAAATCATTTGTTTTGACTTAGTTTTTCTTAAGCATAAAAAACAAAAGCTACCATAAGCACCTATATCTTGAGTTACAGGTTCGTCTAACCTTTTTGGCGGGAAGTGTGGACTTTTGATTTTATTTGGCAACAACTTTTACTAGAGATTCGTTGAATTTCTTTATGTTGGTAATGGTACATCTTATCTTTGTTACAACAGCTACATCGAGACCGACCAGGTCGACCTCAGGTCTGAGCGTGACGCGGGTGAGGGACGCAGTCGGCGGGGGCTCCGCCATGGC